AGATCAGGAAGGCCAAACGGAAGAACTACAGAGACTTCTGTGAGGCAATCAGCACTGCCCATGAGGGGACAAGATTGCACAAGGCTATGGCCAAAGTTGCACCAGAAAGTAACCTGGCCCTGAGGAAATGTGATAACTCTTACACTTCCGACGACAGGGATAAACTAGCTTTACTCTTTAAAACACACTTCCCCGGGAGCTCACCCCTGGCGGAAGATACGTCCAACCCAATGGAGGCAACGTCCACTCCAAGATATCTCAGACCAAGCGCAGAGGACTGGGCAATTGCCAAGTCTCTAGTCTCCCCGGAGAGACTTAAATGGGCAATTGGGACCTTCCAACCATTTAAGTCACCTGGTCTGGATGGTATCTCTCCATCATTCCTGCAGCAGGGACTGGACTTACTCCTAACCCGCTTAAGGAGACTGATGCTAATCAACCTAGCAATTGGACACATCCCAAATGCGTGGCGTAGAGCTAGGGTGGTCTTCATCCCCAAAGCAGGGAAGAAAGACATCACCAACCCAAAGTCCTTCAGACCTATCAGCTTAACTTCGTTTTGCCCTAAAACGTTGGAAAAGCTAGTAGACTATCATATTAGGAGCACAGTTCTTAAGGAATGTCCGCTGCAACCCACGCAGCACGCATACAGGGCAGGTCGTTCAACTGACACTGCTCTGTACCAACTTTGTCACACCCTTGAAGGGGCAGTGGACAACAAAGAAGTTGCAATCTGCGCCTTTCTGGATATAGAGGGAGCCTTTGACAATGCGTCGCATGATGCCGTCTTAGCGGCCCTCGCCAGAAGGAATATAGACGCGACAACAAGTAGGTGGATTGGAGCCTTGTTAAGCTCCAGGCAGGCAATGGCGACCATTGGCAATAGCACAATGACCGTTGCCCCAAGCAGAGGATGTCCGCAAGGTGGAGTCTTGTCTCCTTTACTGTGGAGCCTACTAGTAGATGAACTACTAAAGAAACTCGCCGACAGAGGAATACAATGTCAGGGCTATGCCGATGACATAGTAATAGTAGCCAAAGGGAAATTTGAAGAAACGCTTTGCGATATTGTCCAACTCGCACTCAAGATAACGCTCGACTGGTGCAGGGAAGTTGGACTTAACCTCAACACCGCAAAAACAGTCATTGTTCCTTTTACAATAAAGTACAAACTAAAGAAGATGAGACAAATCATGCTACTAGGTACTCCCGTAGCAATAAGCCGGGAAGTTAAGTACCTCGGAGTTACCTTCGACAGGAGGCTAACGTTTGCAACCCATATGCAAAAGACAGTGGATAAGTGCCTCAGGGCTCTCTTCACCTGTCGGAAAATTGCAGGGAAATCTTGGGGGACCTCAACCCAAATTATCAGATGGCTATACCTTATAATTGTGAGGCCAATACTCACATATGAGGCAGTAGCCTAGGGTAAAAGAGCTAGGCTCGTTACCGCACAGAAACAGCTCCAAAGGCTGCAAAGACTGGCATGCATATGTATGACAGGAGCAATGAGAACCTGCCCCACTGCGGCACTGGAAGTTCTCATGGAACTCACTCCGCTACACTGCGTAGTAGAGTTACAGCGGAAGGCCACCCTACTAAGAATCACTTCTTGTGGTAATGGCAGTGACCGCATTATCAGTTCTAGGGATGCAGCAAAACTACTAGTCGAACTTTCCCTGAGCTCACACCCCAGGGACGAAATGTCAAGTACCATGAATCGTTAGGCCAATACACCAGCATATTCCAAGCTGAAGTTTGCGCCATAGGACGGTGTGCAGAGCTCAATATGAAGCGTGGGTACACAAACAAGGACATTGCGATCCTCTCGGACAGTCGAGCGGCAATTACTGCACTATGCAGCAATAGAATCACCTCGAAGCTGGTACGAAAAGTAAGAACAAAGCTGAACCTTCTGGGCAGCAATAACAGGCTGTCATTAAGATGGATCCCAGGACACAAAGACATATCCGGGAATGAGCTAGCCGACAGGCTAGCAAAACTAGGGGCGGAACGACCCCTTATAGGACCCGAGCCTTACTGTGGCATAGGCAGACTCACAGTCAAAGATTACCTAAGAACAGAAAAGGTACATGTGAGGCAAGCCTGCTGGGTAGACACCACAGGCCAAAGACAAGCCAAAACCCTCATCGTCAATTATGACATAAAGAGGTTTAAGAAACTTATACAACTAGGGAAGAGTTCACTTAGGATAGTTACCGGCTTACTAACCGGACACTGCAAACTAAGGAGACACCTATTTAATATAGGGATTACAAACAGGAAAACATGCAGATTCTGTGATAGCGAGGATGAAACCTCCCTACACATAATATAAGTGCTGGGCAATCTCAGCACTTAGTAGCCTGAGGAGCAGAACCCTCGGGTCCAGGTTCCTTACACTTGGGACCTCCGGAAGCATCGACTCGATAAAGCTCCTTAATCTTATCGAAGGAGCCGGGTTGATGGGTGAGCTCTAAGCTCAGATAGGGGGTACAATACTCTATATTCCAAAAATTATGCTCGTCTGATGAAAAACAACGATGTTATAATTTTATTTCCAGCAGCCTCCACTAGATTATAAACGACCTATCGTCCATGTGTCTGGACTACAAGGTACTGCTCATCAACTCCACTTTTAAGCCAATCTGGACGTATGGCTTCCAGCTCTGGAAGAACGCGAGCAAAACTAACATAGACATCATACAGCCGCTCAAGCAAAGATTCTGAGAACTATCCCTGGGGGCACCATGGTATATTCGAAACGAAAACATCCACAGGGATCTTGGCATTCTCGCAGTAAAAGATAAAATAGAGAAAAAATCTCAGCCCACCCAAATCCTCTCGCAAAGGACTTGCTACTTTCCAGAAGAACCTGCCTAAAACGTAAGGACCTTCCAACCCAGCCATAATTTATCAGAGCCATTTTAACTGTTCCAGTATATATGATGAATAGTTAGGTTATAATATAAGACTTGATAATCTTATTGTTAGTCTTGTAAGGAGAAGATTCAATAAACAAATAGCTACCTTCTGCTAGCCGAAACTGATATATGATAAATTTTAAATCTAAAGTAACAAAAATTTGTTCCCACTTCTTCAATGGTTTGGACTGATTCACGATACATTTTTTTGTAATTCCATGACAGCCATATTATATAGCCTTTTTGTTTGTGATAATATTAGATTAGTAATTAAGAAAGCTCTATATTCCAACTATCATCCTTGAAATATAAATGTTAATAAAAGTCGGACGACTATGTTGTAGCTGCCTCTCCTTTGAATCAAATAAATAATTACATTTTGGATTTGAAAATGTATTATCTCGATGCTATTCAACACAAAGGCATAACATTATTAAATTATTAATACAACAGTGTGATAATTTTTATTTTTTCGTATTTTTGATCTCTCCTATGGGAACTATGCGATATAGTCACCCGATCCGGCCGTTACGACTTATATTACTGTATTCAGTAACTACACAACTCTCGTTAAAGTTTCAGCAAATTAGCTTTAAAACGGGAAGACGAGTTTTCAAAGAAGCAGACAGACGGGCAGATGTACACGTCTTTTTCGACTACATTGTCTATTAAAGCACTTAGTATTATTTTTTGAAATTTTTTCATCATTGTATACAACAAATTTTATAAAAAAATTTTGTTATGTAATATTGATTTTTTTTTTTCAAAAGAATGCCCAATAAGGCATTTGTTGGCCTATAGGGTGGCCGAAGCCCTTTAGATAGGGGAGAGCGGGGATAGGTGAACCATGGGGATAGATGAACCACTAGTAATATTTCACCTTCTATCAGGATTTTGTGCACCATCTTCATATGTGTTGTTTATCCAGTCGGTATCTTAACATCACACGTACGAGTGATCGCGTCAAACAATTGCTGTCATTTCTATCACTAATCAAAGTTTTTGTGCGCCTTTCGCAGCTATTTGCGACCTGACGTTTTCTTGGGGAAAATTTATTGTGCTCCGCCTGTGGCATTGAACTCTAGAAAATTTTTTGTTAACTTAAATAGACGCAAATTATGTTATTTTCACGTATATCTCACGCATTTCCAAATATTCCATTAGCCTGAAAGGTGGTTCAACTATGTTTGTGGGGAGACATTCGAGACAAAAATTTAAAATGCTCATAAAGTTAAAAAAAACGTGACATATTATTTTCACAAAATACTTTAAATGCAAAGGAATTAATGCTCTTTTAGATTCCTATAAACAGCAGACCCTAACGTCGAATTGTTCAGACATAATAATGTTCAACAAAAAAAGTGGTTCACCTATCCCCACTCTCCCCTACTTCTGACCAAAAAGACGAAACAATCTTTAAAATAAGATGGGATGCAATCACAACCTACTGAATGTGTAACAAAGTTAGGGACTGTCCCATTTCAGAGGTCTTATGACATCACAAGAAATCATTTCTGAACCAAGTGGAGACGGGTTATCCCCACCTAAGATAACACTGGTCAACACAAGTCTTGTTTCCTTTATTTTTTTATCTATTATTGGGTATTTCTATGTCCCTGAGTATGAAAAAAATACTGGAAGATTGCTAACAGCTTCAGTGATTTCTTGTGATTTCTGGAAGGCCTGCCCCACGACTAATCAATAGCAATGGAGGGTAGTTAGCTGTAACTCAAAAACAAAAGCTGTGAGAGAAAAATTGTTACCATATTTAAAAAATACACCTTATTTTGAGATAGAAACACAAAAAAATTAATGGGAACAAACGATTTTATTTTTTTTTGTTGACCAGTGTAATCAGCCAGCTTTCAGAATGTTTGCATTTTTAAAAAGGTCGCACACATACATATAGAGATTCAAGAGTGGTAAAGTCCATGTGAGAGTCGTACGGCTGAAGTTAAACAACCTAAATAAAAAGCTTAAATATTTTTAATTTAAAATAAAAAATTGAATTTAATATAACGGTTTGTTAAATAAAAATTGATATTGTTTTTTTTGCTATAATATATAATAACTTACGTGTAAAATAACTGATGGCAAGTTATTATTCCATACATTAATGATAGGCAAGTCTGATGAATTTATCATTTGGACTTGGTTCCAGATGTGAAGCTTAGATATTACAAAACCAAATGCATGCGTCGACATCGGTGGAGTGATGTAAAAGAAATCTATCCAGTAGTTGTCCAATATTGGGCTGAAAATAGTAATAAAAAATACTTTAATATTAATTTTATAAACAAGGCATATGGAAAGTAATCATATAATGTTATGAAACAAAAAACATATAGACTGACATTGACCCCAATTCACTTGACTCCATCTGACCAAACAAATGCCCTGGTAGCAGCAGCCAAAATTTGAACACAGCAGGAGAGACCTTTGCGAAGTAACTAGTTACCTTATAAAACTTATCAAAAAGCTTGTTCTTGAAAATAAACGTGTGCGACCGGCATAACATTTGGGATTGATCACCGTTTATTCAAAAATTTTAAATAAAACTATCGCCGACCAACACAAAGTATCTTCTGTTTAGCATATACCCATATTTAAACCATTCGACTGAAGCAATCAAACCATTGCTATGAAGACTCCAGGCACAAGCCCATTTGACCCAACGACGCTCAACGCTCATATACAAGAAAGCAAATTTTTTTAGAGCAAACAAAATCATGCAAATGTAATAAGGGGAATTTAAATTTCTAGAATAATGCGGAATAACTTGGATTATGTGCAAGGCATGGAACTATTAAGTATAAATTAAAAAGAATTTTAAATTACTAACAAAAAAAAAACTACAGAGTCTTTGAGGTCTTAATGGTCTCATGCATAAAACCAAAACATTACTGGCAGAAAACAACAGATTCTTCGCTGTGAGGTGCAATGCAACAACATCCGACGGGAACAATATAAATGTTGCAGTTCCACAAGGTTGACTACTACCTAGGACATATTGTTTGTGTTTGTCCATTACAAAACAGTAATCCTTACATAAGGTCGGCTAAATAAATTCACGTTTGACTCCCAACTAGACTAACTTCTTCTCGGGTTAAAAAATTACTAAAAGATTACTGACCCTCGATCCGTCGTTCAATTAAAATCAATACAAAACAACAAAGAATCCAATAACTCAAGAGCCAACGGCAGCAACAGCACAAGCAAAATAGAAGGAAGAATCAACAACGAACACCGGCAGCGGCAACAGCATTTAATTTTTACAATTTATTTATTTATTTATTTATTATTAAAGATAGAGAAGTTTACAAAACTAGACTAACTTAGATGGTAAAGCGCTGGCAGCAAGGCCTTCGGCTCTTAAGGTTAATGTTATTTAAGTCTATTAGTTTATTTACATGTTGTTTATTGTAGTTTTGCTACTTAGTTGGTAATATTAGTAATTTCTGTACATTTTTGTTTGTGTTTTATATTTTGTGGTAAAGGTTTGAGGTTTTTAAGAAAGTTAAGATTTTTTCTACATTGTTTGGGTTGAGGTCGTTAAGGAGGTTTATTGGGTTTGTGTTTTTGAAAATGGATAGTATAGTGGATAGGAGTGATGGGCATGAGTTAAGTAGGTGGGGTATGGTATTGTCGCCTTGGCAGAAGGGACAAGGCGAAGTTTGATTTTGATTGAAGTAGTGTTCATGTGTAAGTTTAGTGTGGCCTAACCTAAGGCGTATTATTTTTATTTGATCGAGTCTGTTCGATTTGGGATGGAAGGATGTAAAGTAATTGTCTATGTTTGAAAAGTCTTTGTTCATAGTTTTGTACCATTGATTGCAGTGTTCTACATTTTGTCTATTTCTTGTTCGGAATTCTTGCTTTACAGGGTTTTATTTATCAAATCTTCTCTCTTTGAGACTGTCGGTTAATGTTCAAATCTTAACCTAATACATATATTTCATTAGTTAAAATTGAGTTTTTAGAAAACCGGCCCTAGCTATTGTTGGCTAGCTAGGCGTGAAGTAAAAAAGTTTAGTTGAGAACCTGAATCCAATATATTAGGTCTAAAACTTAGCTCGATAAAGGATAAGTGCGGAGCAGAACCCCTAATTTGTAAATTTTATCCTAAATTCAAATGTCCAACTGATAATGTAACGTAACGTAAACGTAAAGTTGTTTACCAACACCCGCATAATTGCAATCGCGCCTAACTTTGCTTATCTTGTTTTATCTATCTTCTTTATCATCTCATTCTTTTCGCAACTCTTAACCGATTCACTTAAGAACAATCAAAAAACACTCAGAGACACAAATATAAAACCACATCTCATTTAAATCACAAACAATTGGCCTTTTTTTGGAAGTGCACAAAGCGCTGGCAACAAATTAGTTGCATTCCTCTAAACATTTGGTGACCCCGACGTGTTCTACGTGGGGTGTGTTTTATACCATATTTCGTTTTCGTTTTCACAAATCGGTGAAAAGGCCTATCAGTGCATTTGGGCACCACTTCGCAATTCGGTGAAGAGGCCTACAAACATACATACATATATTCCTGTGCTTGGGTATTATTTGGCGCGCTTTCTTTTGTGATCTTGTTCGTATACATAACCACAGTTTGAGCTTGGTTATATAAAGTGCAGTGCATATATAAGCCGTGTTAAGCGAGGTCAGTGAACGCTTGCGAATTTGTTCCGTTGCATTTTCGTCTCTTGCATTCAAATTCGTGCAGTTGCATCAGCAGCTTACGGTGATAGTGACTTTTGTATACTCTTTTTGAAAATGATGGCTGATAGTGATTCGGTTGGTGCAAGACCCGCGGCGGTACCAAGTGACTTGGACTTTTATAAAGCAAAGGCTGATGCTACCTTAAGACAGTTAGAAGCTTTAAAAAGCTACCTGGAGTCAGATGAGGCGGTCAACTTCGACGAGACTGATCTTCAAGTGCGACTTGATTTTGTCGATCAAATGCAAGTGGACTTTGATAAAAGTCAAACCGCGGTCGAAAGGTTAGATTTGCAGGAGTTGTACAGTGACGCTCGGTCAAAGTTCGCAAACACCTACCTCGCGGTAAAATCGCAAATTTCGCGTGAGCTTGGCAAGCAGCGTAGATTTTCAGTCGTGAATTCTACAGCCCTTCCACATGTCGGTGGTGATTCGAGACCCGCTGCGCGTGCCACAAGACTCCCAAAATTCAAGTTGCCAAGGTTCAGCGGTGCCTATATCGATTGGCCTGATTTCTACGCAATGTACAACACCATTGTGGGCAATAATGATGGCCTGAGCAACGTGGAAAAGTTCCAGCATCTTCGGTCATGCTTGGATGGCACAGCGTTGGATACAATTCGGCTATTGAATTACTAGTTTCGAGATTTGATAACAAACTTTTGCATTTTCAGGCACACATACGGTCAATCTGCGGGATTTCAGGTGTGGAGCAAGGATCGGCAGCAAGCTTACGACGATTAAGCGACCAGATGAATTCGCATCTGCGTGCGCTGAATACCATGGCAACGACACAGGGGATCATGGACGGTCTTCTGATCTATCTGGTAGCTTCGAAGTTGGATCGCCACACTCGAGAGAAATGGGAAGAGGGTCTGCAGGCAAACAAGCTGCTGAAGTGGAAGGATATGGCTACATTCCTGGAAAAGAGGTGCCGCATGTTGGAGAATCTTGAAAATGCTATGGTAATCCAGACACCTAGCAAACAGGTGGGAAAACCAAACACTAACAAAAACATTCATAACGCACTCGTAGCATCATCACTAAACACCTCATCATGTAGCATGTGTGAAAGTAGAGATCACTTCATTTCTAAATGCGCTCAGTTTCTAAACCTCAGTCCCACCTTGCGATATAAGGAGGCTAAAAGGCTGCACTTGTGTCTTAACTGTTTGCGCAAAGGCCATGGTATGCAACAGTGCAAGTCTGGTTCTTGTAAACGCTGCCACTCGAAGCATAATTCGTTGCTTCACATCGATTCTAATGCCATCGCCGCACCCTCTCCTCCAACTACCACTACTAACACTCAAAATGTCGTTTCGCTCTTATCATCATCATTCTCTGAAGCTCCACCTGTTGTCTCGTCAGATAGTAAGACCGACTATGTGCTGCTTGCAACTGCCATCGTATACATCAGAAATCGATCTGGTGCATTTGTTCCCTGCAGAGCCTTGTTAGATTCTTGTGCTCAAATCAACATCGTCACTTCTCGTTTCGTTAAGCAGTTGCAACTCACTACTCGTCAAGCTAACACATCTATATCTGGAGTTGGTGAATCATCATTTTCATCAAACGCAACCGTCGATCTCGAAGCACACTCCAGGGATAGATAATATCGCACAGCACTGACAGCAGTAATTAGTGGCAAAATTACAGATTATCAGCCTCATTTCGATTTAAACGCCCTAGGGTGGAACATTCCACCCAATCTTGTTCTTGCTGATCCGTGGTTCTACAATAGTCAGCGCATTGATTTGTTAATAGGGGCTGGCATCTTTTACGAATTGCTTTGCGTTGGGCAAATGCGATTAGCCGAAAATCTGCCCATTTTGCAAAAAACGCGTCTTGGCTGGATCGCATCTGGAGGGATTTCGTTCTCAAACATGAAGCGTTCAGCACTTGCAGTGACCACTGAGCCCGTCATCCAATCGGAAACCGATTCCTTGACAGATATTGTCAAACGGTTTTGGGAAATCGACAGCTGCTGTGGATCTCCAATTGTCGCAACTGATGAAGATGTATTGTGCGAGCAGCTGTTCCAGAATACCTTTTCTCGACTCAGTTCAGGGCAATACTCGGTTCGTTTGCCTGCCAAAGCCAGTTTCGACATGCTCGGAGATTCATATGGTCGTGCCTTACGTCGATTTAAGACGCTAGAGGGCAAATTGCTCAAGGATGTGGAATTAAAGTCGCAATACGCTGCATTCATCAAGGAATACATCGATCTACAGCATATGTCGCTTGCTTCTGAGCAATCAGTAGCCTCGCAATATTACTTGCCTCATCATTGCGTGCAGAAGCCAGATAGTATAACCACAAAGTTACGAGTCCTATTCGATGGCTCAGCTAAAACGACCTCAGGGTATTCTCTAAATGATTTGTTGTTTTCAGCCCAAAATCTTCAGCACACTGCTTCGTTTTCGCTTTTTCAAAGTTGCATTATGCGGGGACATCTGCAAAATGTATCGATGTGTCCGTGTCACTAGCCCTGATAACTATTTGCAGTCTATCTTATGGCGTGACGACCCAAAT